CTGCAATGCACTTGCTTCATTTGTGAATGTGTCGACTCTAAGAACCTTTTGCAAATCAGAGGCTGATTCAATTGAAAGGCTTTCAAGTGCTTTTGCGATAATCTGACAGACAGAATGTAATATGAATAAGCAAAATAGTACCATGATAAAATAAGAACAAAAGTTGGCTCTTGAAGAGTGCAAGGCAAATAAAGGAAGGCCCTGTTTCTAAGAATTTCCAAAATCCAGCCTACCTCATCTTTTGAGGAGCTCTCTTTACCATTATCTGTGTTATTCAATGTGGCAATCACAGCCCTATCACCACTCCCACATAGGAACAATATTTCACTCATACTTTTGACCAAGGCCCTGCACAAGGCGGTAAAACACTAAAAGTTAGAATACGTATCACAACAGCCAATCAGTAGAACCTAACAGTAGACCGTAAACTACATTATTTTAAACATACACCATAAAAAAATTATATAGAGAAAAGTACTGGTGCTGGTGTCAGAAAGCGTAACCTTAAACTTCTCAGGAATAAGCCTACTGCTCGTAAAAGCAAAGTTGAGTTAAAAAGCTAACCTTGCTCTTCCATCTTCAGTAAGCATTGAAAAATTGTTTGAAGCATCATATCTAGTCTTGGACAATCTTCCGGAACCAGGATTTTGATGCTTGCTGGACCCAACTTTACCTACTTCATGTGGAAAGAAAAGGATGTATTTGAGAACAAACGCCTGCACAGAGAGAACCTATGATAAGCAACATGAAGCAGTATCAAACATGCGCAGAATCTTCATAAACTACAAATTAGCTCGAAACAATGGAATAGAAAAATGTATGATAGCAAGACCTAATAACTGAGATTAGCTTCAATAGCTAAAGGTCATTTCAGCAGAAGAACTGAAATGTGGCATCAGGGAAGTAGCCCAATTAAGGAGGAATGTCCAAACAGGCATTCCCGCAAATGCTTCCAAGTAGAGTTTGAAGCCTTGGCAAGAGAGTCTAAATGATATTCTCAACGCATTTTCATCACAAATGACAATGACGAGTCAGAAGTTGAAGATTCATGCACACAGTACTGGAACCGACAAAGAGAACATGAATAAAATTTACGAAAATTACTTGTATTGTTGCTAAGACGCCGCAGGGCCCACCTTCATGCTGCACTAGGCCCATGGACGTTTCTGGATCAGAGCTAAACCTACAGAAGATTTTGCATAAACATAAGCCAACATTGAACATGTGAACATCATATCAGAGTACCATATGTTAAAGATCGAAAAATTCGGTAAATTTCAAAATGCAGTGAGATTGAGAGGCGTATAGAGATAGCATAATCTAAGCTCTTGAGATATCTGGAAAGATAGCATAATCTAAGCTCTTAAGATATCTATATCACAAACTAGCCATTGCGCCAGTCATTCACGGTAGGCAACTTGTTCACCCAAAAATAAAGAATATAAAAAATTGCTATTACAAACTGAAGAAAACAACTTGCCATCCCTGAGTACTACATGGGTGCAGTTCTGCCTCATTCAGAGCAAGAAAAAGTGAATTAAACCCCCGGTATATCATGGAAAAAATCCTAAGTCACAGTTGTTTTTAAAAAAAATTCTCAAAATACACACGTTATGAAAAAAATTTCCAATCTACGCATGTTTGGGCCATCACCGCCGTCGACGAAGACAGTGACTGCATCACCGCTACCGACAAAGACAGTGATTGCATCACTGCAGTACACGGCCGCAGTGAAGGCCTGACATGCGTCGAAACTTTAAACAAACGTAACTTTGTGCTCGGTTATCCGAACGTAGCGAAATTTTTTTTGATTCCGCATAATTTTTCAAGATCTTGCAAGCCGCAAATTGCCGTAGGCGGTGTGGCCCCGCCTTCGTCTCGAAAATATGTCGTTTGCTACCCCGAACGAGCCTTTTTTCGATTTCGTCAAACTTTGAACGACCATAACTTTGTGCTCCACAATCCGAAAATCATGAATTCTTTTTTGATTTCGCATAACTTTTTAAGGACTACAATTTTTAGTAGGAGAGAATTTTCAAAAAATGAATTATTTATGGATATAAGGGGTTTTGGGAATAACTTTACCTTCCTTTTTAGGAATCCAAGTACATTCCGAAAATATGTCTATGATAAAAATTGTAGTCCTTCAAAAGTTATGCGAAATCAAAAAAAATTCATGATTTTCGGATTGTGGAGCACAAAGTTATGGTCGTTCAAAGTTTGACGAAATAGAAAAAAGGTTCGTTCGGGGTAGCAAACGACATATTTTCGAGACGAAGGCGGGACCAAACCGCCTACGGAAAATTTGCGGCTTGAAAGATCTCGAAAAATTATGCGGAATCAAAAAAAATTTCGCTACGATCGGATAACCGAGCACAAAGTTACGTTTGTTTAAAGTTTCGACGCAGGTCAGGCCTTCACCGCGGCCGTGTACTGCAGTGATGCAATCACTGTCTTTGTCGGCAGCGGTGATGCAATCACTGTCTTTGTCGGCAGCGGTGATGCAATCACTGTCTTCGTCGACAGCGGTGATGGCCCAAACATGCGTAGATTGGGAATTATTTTCATAACGTGTGTATTTTGAGAATTTTTTTTAAAAACATGTGTAACTTGGGATTTTTTCCGTATATCATATATGGTTAGATAACGCCCTGATGAAGGTTGTGCACCAATATTGAACAAAAGATATATTCATGGGGCATTAGGCATTGTCACGAGGAGACCAACACGTACCTTATGCCCTGATTGCTCCACTGAGCAAGAATGCCCTTGGAAACGCCGGTGCCAAATACCATAGAGAACAATTGGTCGGCCTCCTCGATCGACAATTCCCGCCCCAATTTACACACCTTCAAACTCCCGTCTTTCTCCTTCATCGCAGAATCAGCAGTCTTTACAGGGCCGCTACCAGTAACAACAGTAGCACTGGAAGTTACAGACTTCGAAGGCGAGGCAATTTTGGCAGCCTGCATACGCTTCTCAGCTGCAGCAGCCATGAGCTCTCTCTGCAGTCTCCTCGAATCATCCGGCGAGACAGAGGCCTCTCCTCCGGCTACAGCAGAAGCAGCAGCGTCCCTGGGCTTGCTCCGCTTGGGTTCCGGCGGGGAATTCTGCAGCATGGGCTCCGGAGTGGAAGGGTTCTGCATACTCAACCTAAGAGCCATTCTGAGGTCATCTTCATCCTGATCCGCCATAGAACCACGAAAAATAGTAATATACCCCGACCTCTGGATTAACCGCCACAAGAGCAACAAGAAGTGCGTAGATTCTGGCGAATCAGCACGGCAATAGCTCAGAACACGGATGTAGGAATTGACTGAATTCGATTGAAGGAGTGGAATCAATGCATCACCACGATCTGAATCGGGGAGAAAGAGATCGAATTTCAAAAGCAAGGTTATAGAATTCCCAAGGAATTGGGAAAACCCTAACTACAGAACAAGGGTTCTGGAATTCTGTTGGACTCGGAAATGAGAGACGATTTATATCGGGAAAAACTTTCCATGTTTTTTCTCTATTTTCTTGTGTACAACATGAAATTGGAAGAACAATGCGGGCGAAACGAATGGAAGGCGAGGCGAAATCATAATTTCAGACTTCTGGTAGGGGCACATAGGGAATTGAAGAACGTACGCGGACAGGCCGTCAAGAATCAGCAAAGCTGAAACGGCATCACATGCTGAAAGAACGGCTACTTCATCTCTAGTGTTTTTTTAGGAAGACAAGATTGGGTCATTGGGTGTATATGGGTCGGTTGGTTTGGATTTAATTATTTTAATAACCCGACTCATGCACTACTATTTGGAGATTATCAAATCCAATCCACCCAAAAATATTTAAGTCCTACGGTTTGTTTTTATTTGGGTGGGATCGGGTTAGCGATATTTTTAAATAAAACCCAACTCAACATAAAATATATGATTATTATACATCATAAAAATATTTTATAACTAATTAAAATTTCAAACGAATATACCGAGGTGAAAGGTATCAAAATTCACAAATGTTATTTGAATTTTAATAAAATGTGATTTACTTCAACATATGTCTAGTTTTATTTTTTCACGATATTTGTTCGAATAGACTAAAAAGGTTATAAACAAACGCATCCATAATATATTATTCTATTAAAATTGTACACAAGAAAAAGAATTATGTGAGGAAAACATGAGAGGAAAACATGACGAAATATCTTAATTTTCTCATAAGTATGGCTATATACGACATAAATATTTTTAGATACGAACTCATACTAATAGTTGGAACACGGGTTGGGTCGGGTTCTACGGGTTGTGTAATCCAAAATCCAAACCCAACCCAAAAGAGGCGGGTTGTACAAAAGAAAACCCTCACCCAACCCAAAAACTTTGTTTTAGCGATAAATACGGGTGGGTTGGGTCAGGTTGGACGGGTGGGTCGGTTTGCGGGTGTGTTTGTTCACCCCTAGATGCAATGCATCTAGAATCAAATTAGGATATGACGCTCTTGGGAGGTACCCCTAGCGTCGTAGTTCACCAAATACATGAGGTTAGGGTCGCACATATCAAGCTGATGCGTGCCAAAATGGACATCATGTCCGTTGCTAGCCAAAAAGTCGGCTGCAAAATTACACTCTCTATATATATGGTTGATTTTCAACCCAATTACGACTAAGGAGCTCTATAGCTTGGAGGGCAAGTAACTCGTGTATGTTGTTCATATCACCTCCTCCTTTCAAAATGCTCACCGCAGTAGTGGAGTCTAGGTTGACTTCGATTTTCCTATATCCCTTCTCCCATGCAATCTTCAAACCTTCCACAACACCTTCAGCTCCGCCCTGGTGATGGTACAAGAGCCCAGGTTGCAAACAAACACGGCTGAGCATTTTCCCAGGTGATCTCTAAGCAGTCCTCCAGCCGCAGCATTATGGTTCAGGCTTTGATAGCTTACGTTACTTTGAAGTTGAATCCAACCTTCTTGAAGGGGGGGGGGGGGGGGGGGGGGGGGCTTCCATGAGATGAAGCTTCTTTCTCTATTGATTCTCATGACCAGGCCAATGGAAGCAACATTAGCAACAACATTGACATTGATAGTGAAACAAGTAGTGATTCGTTTAATTAGTCCCATTTCAGAGAAGGGTTCACCTCCATTGCTTCTTCGTTTCTCTACTTCCATAAGCACCAACAAATGATCCCAAATTCCGTTCCTTTTCCCAGATCCTTAATATTGTTCAGCAACTAGGTTTTAAAATCGTGGTTGGGTTCTTGGTCAGTGATGGATGCCTTGAAACGATTCCAGACACCCTTAATCTTTTTGCAACTGCGGAGGGTATGCTCCATAGTTTCCTCAGGGTTGTTGCAGTGGGGGCAACTGATGTTGGTTGTCAGTCCTCTCTTTGATCTCTCCTTGTTTGTCATCAATCTGTTATGTGTCTCCAGCCACAGGAAATGCTTAATCTTGCTTGGTCCTTTCCATTTCCAAATGCCCTTCCAGATTGAATCCTCATCCCTTCCCAAAAAGTCCGAGTCAAGATTGTAGGCAGACTTGAGGCATAACTTCCCATCTTGTTCAATGCCCCAGATACGCTTATCCTCCCCCGAGCTTGGAATGAGAGTATCACTGCCTGCAATCAAAGACATGATCTTATCATGTAATAGGCTGTTGAGTCTACTCCAATCCCATTCCCCTTCCTTAGTGACCCAATCGGCAACAGCAGAGTTCATCTCTTGATCATTAATATCTTGCTTGAGAAAGTCAGCAAGGATAATATCATGGTCAATCCAGGGGTGAGTCCAAAAGCCAGTGGATGCTCCATCACTGATACTCCAGGCAGTGGCTTGCTTCATCATGGGCATGGCTCTGAGGACAGCTTTCCAAAGGCTTGAGGGATTGCTCTTCTTCATGGAAACAATCATCCCATCCTTGTGGTTCAAATACTTCCCCTTCAGAACCTGAACCCAGAGCTTTTTCATCGTTAAACATGAGCCACGCAATCTTAATCATGTAAAGCCATATTGAGATTCCTAGCAGACTTGAGACCCAGACTACCCTGGCTTTTAGGTTTGGAAATGGTGTCCAAAGCCACAAGATGAGTTTTCCTCCTTCCTTCCAGTGAACCCTAAACAAACCATCTGTAACACCCCGACCTTTGGATGTGGGTTCGACCAATATACCTGATCGGTTGGATTGACGGTTACGCACTAAGAGTTGCAACCGCGAATTAGGAATAATTATTATTATTATTATTATTATTATTATTATTAATGTAGAGAGGTGGGAGTCGCTCGGTCCCCCTCCCTAAATTTGTTTCCCCACGCAAACCCCAGCAGTAACCCCCCAACCGCTGCCCATCCCTGCTTCCCATTGTGGTCGGGAAGAAAAAAGAAGGAGCCGCCGCCTCCCTGCTACTGACCCCGACCTCACCCCTCTCGTGTTCCTAGGTAAGGATCACAAATCCTCTCGCGATTCATAAATCGATTCATTGATAATCTAATCTAAACTCGTATTTTTGTACTATAGCGTTTGCGGTGAGATTTGAGGGTTTGAACATCACTCAACGAGAAGATCAATGTCCCGGGTCATCCAATCTAGTTCTAGGCACGTTCTAGAGGTAAGGGAACTCGTTCCCTTTGAGTTAGATCGATCGATTTAATGATTTTCGTGAGGGTGCAATTTTGAGGTTTTAGCAACAGACTTTATATGCTTTTAGTGACAAAATTTTGGGTGCTCACTAAAGCTGCAAGGAATTTCCAGAAAACATATTTTTTAGATGTTTTAATTGTTTCGAGCCTCTGTAGGTTTTGGTTTCTGTATTTAACAATTTTATAAATTAAGCGCAGTATATGAGATGTCTGTGATTTAATTTTGGAATTTTTGAAGACGAATGACTGTATTTAGAAATTAGAGGAATGTCGATTTTATTTAAATAAAAATCCTCCCTAGGTGTTTTTAAGAGTTTGATCATTTTCCATGATCTTGGTTCTTCTGATTGATATGGGAAAATTGTTATTTAAATTTTTAAGGTGGTTCAAGTAAGGTGAAATATTCGTCCAAGACAGAAATAATTAGGAAAAATAGTCGGTTTTGAGGGGATTATTTCTATGAAAATTTTAAACGGGGTTAAGGGACCTTCGGAACGAGGCTCGAGGACTGGATTTTGAGGAGAGGATGCTCTAGTGATTCAAAAGGGGAAATTTAAATCGAGAAAGGTCGACTAAGGAGATGTGCTTTTTATTAATAGGTTCACTAAGATAATTCGGCTAGGAGAGATTTCTTTGAGTAAAGAATCGAGGAGTCATCTTTTCAAGGTGAGTGTAAAGGGGGTAAATTCTATGCCTTACGTGTTCTTTCAAGTTTTACGGACTTTAAGTATTTTGATGAAGTGATTGTTATTGTTTGATTATGTTTATAATTGGTGATATGTGTGTGGTTTGAGCTTTGCTTGAAGCGATTATGTATGAGTTATTATCAGTGGCGGACTCGGGATTTTGGGATAGGTGTGTCGACCAATAAAATTAGATTAAAAACAAATTAATTAATATTAATTAATTTAAAACAAACAGAAAAATTTTATTCATAAATTTCACCAATTTTATTATTTCTTACAGTGAACCACGACGAGTTTTCGCATTTGTCCATTAGGTTGCAAATCAAGTAATTTTTATTTAAAAAATTAAAAAATTATCCATAAACTGGTCACTCAACTTATACCAAAGATTGTTCTCGATTAAACTCCATATGGAAAATGTCATTTTGTAGCTTGCAGTTGCAAGAGGTAAAGTCAATACTAATTTAAGATGAGAAATTTGGTATGAGAAGCTCGAAGGGTGGCCACATGTGTCAACGTGGAAATTTGAATGGCCATGAGGATGTTGTTGGCTCAACGCCGACGATTGAAGGGTGGCTACAGGCGTCAACGTGGAAAGAAATAACTAAACTAGAAAGTAAGTTGAAAATTAACATAAAGAAAAATATATGAAAGAAGCAATGGGGAAAGACAGCCTGGAATTCACTATCTAATTATTTTACTCAACTAGCTTATTAATCAATTTAATTCTCATTCAAATTATCGATGTTGTCTCTAAGTGGATAGCTATCTTTCTAAATAATCACTACGTACTAAGTAGTCAATTAATTTTTACTCTTATGCAACCAACTAATTAATTACCGAATCTGAAGTCCTATAACTCTTATATTTCTATATTTTAATAACATTATGACAACATTTTTTTAATGTAATAAGGTGTGTTGGTTACAATTATTGAAAGTGTATCGGAGGTCCCATATTCGAATTTTTTACACCAAAAAATTATGAATTCTTCACAAAAACTTCGAACCAAGGTGTGTCGGGTGACACACCTTGGACAAAGGTGGGTCCGCCCCTGTTATTATTTACTTTAAAGCATTATATTTATGAGTTGTTGTTGAGGTTTAAGAAACAAGTTTCTTTTTAAGAAGTACTTCACCTTCAAAAGGTGCAGTCATTTTAAGAGATTTAGTCACTAGCGCCAGTCCGTTGCCATTTGAGTTTTTCGTATAGAGCAACAGCTTTGCTCTAGAGACTTTTAAGATGAGCATCAGTTATGCTATTGAGAATCGTGGTGAAGAGCCACCAAGATAAGTTTAAGATGTTAGGGGGATGAATCGTTACGACTCCCCTAACTAAGTTTAAGTTTAAGGAAAGCCTGGATGGGCTCTCTTACGTATGAGTTGGCAACCCGACTAGCTTGTGAGGGATCCCAGTGTCAGTCAAATATTTGAGTTGAGATTTGAGCTTTAAGAATATATTGTAAATAGTGGAAGTATCATCCACCAGTTTAACTTAAGTTCTTAAGTAAGAAGTACTAGAGATTTCAAACGTAAGGGCGTAGACTGACCCCAACTCACTCACTAGATCGTAGAGGAGGAGATCGTAACCAGCCAGTCCGTGATGAGCAAGCTAGAGAAGCTCAACACCACAGTCGTTGAGGGATGTCGAGTCAGGCGTCAGAGTAAGCATCGAAGAACTCATTAAGTTATTAAGACTTTGTGGTTATGAGTTAATACTGGAGATTCATTTTTTTGTTTATTTTAAGAGTACGAGTTAAGTTTTGCCCACGTGTTTAGGGCTTCGCTTTGAGATATTAAGATAATTAAGATTGACATTTTATTTAAAGTGGTGTTATTTAAGATTTTGAAAAGATACGCCGGGGTAGAAATGTCTTTTTCCAAGTTCAAAGTAGTGGGATGTTTCATTTTGGTATCAGAGCCAGTTTTCCTTTGTTTCTTGGTTCCCAAGAAATACTGGAATATCGGTCCCTGTTTTTAAAGGTTTTGTTTTTAAAGATTTCAAGTCAAAGTTTGGCCAAACAAGTTAAGTATTTCTTTTAAGAATTTAGAATCTCTAGTCTACTCTAAACCACATTAAGGAAGAAATAACTTAGTTCTAACGAGACCCTATGTGCCTAAAGTGTAAGTGTTGGCCCGAATCCCACACCACCTGTGCCACCGCCAGTAAGACCTCCACCGGACTATGTATCTTTCCAGAAGAGAAAGGTGGTAGATTTTAAGGGGGAGCGCTCAACGTACCTCATAGAAGTAGAGCAGTGGCTAACCAATGTCACTCGTACTCTGATCGAGATGATGGCTGATGACGAGGACAGAGTATTGCTGACAGTGTCCTTGATGCAGGACACTGCATACAACTGGTGGACTACCCGACCAGCTAGTCGAGAGGATCCAGTGGCCATCATTTGGCCAGAGTTTGTGCAGCTATTCAAAGAGCCCTTCATACCGAAGGCCTACCGGATCGGGAAGTAGAGGGAATTTTTGTTAATAAGGTAGAAGTAGGACAGTGAAGGCAGGGAAAGCGTGACTGATTACACGGCCAGGTTTGACAAGCTACTTACCTATGAGGACCTCGATTTCACGATGTAGCAGCTCAACACACCCATTACATGAAGAGCCTGAAGCCTGCTTTTAGGCGCCAGTTGAGTATATTGAATTGGAACAACATGGAAGAGATCTATCAGGCAGCTTTTCGGTTGGAGAGAGTGGATACATCTCTGCATGAGAAGGGGGTGAGACGAGAAGGGAATAGGAGAAAGGCTGCTAGCCTGTCTGAGGGGCCAGGACAGCCGAGTCAGCAAAGAAGGAGACCATCCCAGAGCTACTATGGGGCCACCCAGAGTCAGGCCGACTCAACCAGATCAGGGTCGACCTACACTCCTCGGGACCCATGCAACCAGTGTGGGAGAACTCACCCGAGAGAGTGTACGGTGCAACTGGGAGGCATCTGCTATCAATGCAACGAGCCGGGCCACTATGTTAGAGATTTACCTAAGAGAGGAGGACAATGGAGAGCCCAGTCCGAACAATCAGTCCGGGGCGGAGGAGGAAGAACTTAGACCGGACATCAGTTTAGCAACTAGCCAAACTGGTCCTATCACCAGCATGGAGGCAATGCATGGCGGTTCAACCTCAATGAGCTAGATCGTGGTCAAGGATCTCAAGCATCTAGGCAACCAAGACTGTTTTCCATGAGGAGAGAAGAAGCTGACGCTGCACCTGATGTGGTGACTGGTATGATGTCACTTTACCACCAGCCAGCTTTTGTATTGTTTGATTCTGGTTCCATGCACTCTTTCATTTCTACCAAGCTTGCTAGCACCTTAGGTATTCCATTTGTGAGGTTGGGGCATAATTTAGGGGTAAGAACCCTAGTAGGGGATACCCTTATAGTACACTTAGTCATTCGGGGCTGTCTTATCACCGTTGCGGGGCACGAATTTGAGGCGAACTTGATTCTACTACCCTTCGATGAGTTCGATGTTATCTTGGGATAAAAGGAAAGGGCACTGCATTGTTCAAAGGGACTAAGAAGCTTATTCCTTGATGCTTAATCTCCATGGTTAAGGCATTCTCATCGATTCAAGAAGGATGTGAGGCATATTTATCTCATGTTAAGGAGGTGCAAGAGAAGAAGATAGAAGATGTACATGTCGTAAGGGAATACCCCGAGGTATTTTCCGAAGATCTCACTGGGCTACC